TATCTAGGCGATAGTCACATCATACAAAGCTATATAAGTAAATATAACTACTACTAGTCCTACTAGAAGTATAGCACTTAATCTTTTTAGACTTTATTATTAAACTACTAAAGTTAAGAGAACTACTTATAAAGATATACTATAATAGTATTTTAGTTATTATTAACTAACTTATAAAGTACGCTTACTTTATACTAAACCTAGAGTTAAGTATAGTAAAAGACCTAGTGTATACCTTCTTAAAATATATTATTAGTAACTATAGTTTACTAAAAGAAATTATTTCTAATAGAGATAAGCTATTTACCTTAAAGTTTTAGAAATCCTTAATTTTATAACTTAGTATAGACTATAAACTATTTACTATATTTTACTTATAAACTAATAAATAAATAGAAAAAATTAATTAAATACTTAAGTAGTATTTATAATACTATATTAATTATAACTAAAATAATTAGGTACTACTATTACCTATAGCTTAATTTACTTATAATAGTGCTATTAAAGAAAGCACTTAGAACTTACTATTTTACTTAAACTATAGATTTTAGCTAACTACTTATAAAGAACCTTAAGAAGGCCTATAAGTATTAAAAGCTATAGCTAATATTAATAAAATAAAAAAACTCTAGAGTAAAGTAGCTCTAGACTTAGAATTTATTAGGATATAAATAAAGAAATATACTAATACTTTAAGGATTAAGGCACTAACCTTGAAAAGAAGAGATAGCGTATACCTCTTATATAGAAATATTAAAATAAAGTAACTAAGTAATAAATTAAACTATAAGAAACTTAAACTATTTAAAATTCTTAAGAAGATCTTTAGTATTAACTATAAACTTAACTTACTTAATATAATAAAGATTTACTTAGTTTTTTATATTATACTACTAGAACTAGTACTATAAAGATTAAATACTAATAACTATATTATTATTAACTTATATAAACTAAAATAGAAAGTTAAAAAAATTATTAACTAATACTATAAAAATAAAAAAAATAATACTTAGTTAAATAAAAAGATTATAAATATAAAAATAATTTATAAGAACTAATTAAGAACCTTTAATATTCCTAATAGCTTTTATAAGTATACTAAAGTTAAAACTTACTAAGTCTAAATTACCTTATATAGCACTTTAGTTAACTATACTAAAGGCACTACTAGACTATACTTTTTATATAGCCCCTAATAGTTTAAAAGGAACCTTAGAATCCTTAGGAAACTCTTCTAACACTTTCTAACTCTTCTTAAACACTATTCTCTTTTAAGAATAAAGCTGCTTAAGCTAGGTAAGTAACTTATTTAACTTAGCCTAAGCCTTTTAAGAAGCCTTAGCTTTATTATATAATAACGTAGCTTTTTTTAAAAATATAACTTTTTAGCCTCCTCCTTATAATTAAGATAATTAGACTTTACTACTAAATAATTTACTAAGGAACTATTAGTAAAAAAAACTAAGGAATTAAAAGAATAACTACTTATAAGTATAAATAGTATTTATAGACGTATTATAAGATATCTTTAAATAATAATAAGTGCTATAGATATTAAAGTTAAGAAGGATTAGACACTATATACTATAGGACTAATAATTTAAATATAGTAGTATTTTAACACCCTTATTAAAAAACTAAATAATATAAAGTAAGTAATAATAAAAAAAAGCACCTTATAATTTTATTTTTTTTATATAACTTAAAATAGTGTTAGTATTATAAAAAATAAAGAAGTATAATTAATAACTTCTTAACTTAAGAGATATAACCTACTTATATAGGTCTTAAGGATAAGACCTTTTAAAGAGAAGACCTAATATTATAACTTAATAAGTTATAGGCTATATTACCTTACTTAATAAAAGATAATAAGTAGTAGTAGTATTTATATAGATAAGAAATAAGGAATAAATAAATAACTCCTTAGAATAAAAGAACTATAGTATAAGTTATATAACTATAAGTATAAGATAAAATAAAAAATAAGTACTTATTTATAAGTAAAATAAGCGCTTAGTAAATACCTAAGTAAGCGCTTATTCTACTTTATAACTATTAGTTAAAAAAACTATTTAGGGAATAGTTAGGACTTATATATAGGATAAACTTAGAAGCACTTAAGGACAGACTTCTATAGCTCTTTAGTAATTAACTTATAATATATTCTTTAAATACCTTTTAGTATCTAACCTTAGTAATTTAATTAATAAGAAGCTATATAAGCTGCCTTACGACCTTAAGCCTTAACTAATTACTAGGTAATTAATAAAGATAATAAAGAAGAGGAATACTATTAACTAGGTACTAACCTCTACTTACTATTAGTAGAAACCTTACTGTCTAGAAACTAGCTGTAATAGTTTATAACGTCTTATTCTTTAAAAAATAAAAAGATAACACTTTAAGTATCTATATAGCTTAGTAGTAGTTTTAGCTAAAGAATAATTATAAGTACCTCTTTTATAAAGCTATTAAGTCTTACTATAAAGGCCTTATTTAATCTTTAATCTAATAAATAAAAGTAGTAAATCTACTATAAAAGGTCTTTATTATAAGTAGCTCCCTTATAAAGCTATTAAGCCTTACCTTAAAGAATTATTATCTTAATTAAAAACTAATTTATTTATATAGATATTTATAGATCCCTTTAGACTAAGTATTTTTAACCTTAATCTTAGCGTATAACTTTTAAAAGGATTACCTAAGTTTGTAGTAGTATATGTCTAGAAACAACGTTCTGATAACCGCTTTTATACTTTATCTACTTTGCTTTAAAGCCTGAGCGTCCTGCGGGTGGTTTCGCGTTTTCGCGTGTCTAATATACCTGGTGTTGCAGACGGGGAGGCCTTTGTCTGTTCCGCTAGCATGTTTATCTTTTGTCCGCGTATTTACCGCCGGGCTAAAGGTGAGAGTGATCTGGTTACATCATGTTCACATACTACCTTCCCCCGATTCTTGGAACTCCCGTGAGATCTTCTAATCAGTGCCTTCTTCCTGTCGGGTGCCCAGATGGCTCCGCAGTCCAGTTGCGATGGTAGTCAGTTATGAAGGTAGTCTCTCGTTAATCGTGATTCAAATTCGTGTAACCATCGTCGTCCATTGCCAATATAGGGCGTGCAACGTCCATCAGTCCTTCTGGACCAAGTACGGCGTTCGATAGGGCGTGCAACGTCCATCAGTCCTTCTGGACCAAGTACGGCGTTCGCGTATTCATGCGAGGTAGCTTTGAAAAGCTGTCTGAGGCAGCCTCTACCAAATCAAGCTTGAGTCATGTGTTGGAATGAGTATGCTACCAAAACAAACGGATAATAGGCCCCATATAAGCCTCGGCCTGACTCTTTGAAAATAAACCTGATCAAGGTTCTGTTTTGAACAACCCCTGCATCACACGTGCTATTCCAGCATGAGACTACGTTAACAGTGGAATATCGCGGCTTTGATCTCGGTTAGTCTCGCCTTTACGCCGATGCAGATAGCATTTCAAGCGATGCTTCACGTCGCCCGTTAACAATGTAGCCCTTGGCCATCTGCAACGGTCACGGTGATTGTCGAGATGGCGCTCCTGGCGACGTAACCTTACTTCGGTCCATTCTTCTCTGACAGTTGACCAACTGGTCCAGAAAAATATGCCCGCATTCCAGGCTCCTTGAAGTGGTAGCACGATAGCGATCGTAGTGTTTAAACCCAAACTGACATCCTCCGGCCTGACATATTCGTATAATACGTTGATTGAACTGGGCGTCCATGTGATAAGTACGGAAACAGCAAATAAAGAGCAGGTTCGGAGATATTCAAGCTTTATGGGATCAATCTCCTTTAATCGTGATTGAATCTTTCTGTTGATGGGGGCGATGCGCCGAATGATAGAGCGTCGGGGCTTTGGCGGGGGCGGAGTAGAGGAAGTTGTGCCAAACCGCGGACTACCCTGCGGAACAGCCTCCTCATTAATCATATCCCATGGGGCCTGCTCTTGCGCTTTTGCGTTCACAGAACTGTTTATCATTGCCGCACTTGGCGTCCGAGGCAGCTGAGCCTCAAGTTCAATCGTCGTAACCGGTCCTTCCGTCGCTGCACTTATATCGTCCCCAGTGCTGTCGGTAGGGGTCTGATGAATATTAATAAGAGGTCAAACACTAGATAGGTGTTAGAAACAGGTTAAATACCTTTCCGGTGGATGTATTTTCAGTTAAGTCTAAAAAGCGTCCAGCATTGTTGCGTAGGTTGCTCGAGTTAAGCTTCGCAAGTTGGTTCCGCCTGTGAAATACGTGGTACCCAATGGCGAGATAGATAGCAGCTGAGCCGAATATGCAGCACCAGGTTGGTACATAGAACGCAAAAATTCGAAGATGACCCCATTCAGGAGTAATCCAGCACCATAACTGCATTTAAATTAGCCACAGCCAGGAGACATTTAGGATATATTATCCCTTACGAAAGCATTACCGTATATCGAGGTGTCTGGCTCATTCGGCTTGATGGATAGTAAGCAGAGGCCTAGAATCAGAGGGCCCCCTAAGCATATTATACAGTAGACCCAGAGATATCGTCGAAATAATGATACGTCGACATTGGCAAAGAAAATAAGAAACACGTTAATAGCCATAGCAAAGGACCACCAGGGGTCCGACTGCAAAAAGCTTCGAGGGGTTAGTTTTAGTAACACCAAACAGGTCTTGATACACTCACGATTCTAGCAATACGCTTTGCGCCTTACATAACGCCGAGTCTACGCCAAGGCGAAGTCCATCACGGCCTATGATACAGGCGATACTTGCACAAAAGTTGGAGACTGAGGCAAGTAGGATGAAGAGATTGCGAACGGATCGCATGCGCTGGGAGGCCCAAAAGGCGACAAATATTAAGCTGACCCCCAGCAAGGATAAGATGGAACTGATCTTTTCGATTGTTCCAAGAAAGCTGTCGTCGTCAGTCGTTCTTGGGTAGATTGCGCTGAAGTTGTCCTTCATTTTCCCAGATCAACGCACACTTTCGCCTGCGTTGTACTCATCCATTTTAGTAATGTAGATTCGGCAGGTAAGGTCAACATCTTACCTGGAAGCGCGAGTCGAAATCAGCTCAAGTCCGGAAATCCATAAGGATGAACAGTGGAATAAGGATGAAAAAGTGGAAAGCGAACGCCAAGTCTTCCAACTAGTTTAAAAGACACCCGTGGATACTAAAGTGTGAACAGTGTGAGTCACGATACTTTGTGAGCGCAGCTGCAGAGGGAAAGGGATGCATGCAATACGACACGGCATGTCGTCACCCTTGAACCAATGAACGTCGGCATATCAGGCCACGCGCGAGTGCGTATTGGCAAAGACAAGAGCAGGAATCGGCGTCAGAGCCGGCGGACTTGGTCGTCCCTCTCCCCTCTTGTCAGGGTGCGTCAGTATTATGATAGTCACCACGCTGTTACGGCCTAACCAGTGGGGGTGCTGGCTGGCGTGACTATATAATCCAGAACAGAGGATAGTGATGCAGGCCCATCATTGCCGAAGCTGTTGCTTTGTGATACAGTTGGTTGCTGGGACCTGCTCGTAACACACGCGGGTGACAAGAAGCCCGGCACACCTTAATACCATACCCACCCCAAGACTATTGACAAGTGGACTGATTCGATACCAACTTGACTACCAAAGACGTCATTGACCAGGGAGGAAAAGATACCCGGTAATTAACATAACAGCCTTGCATTTAATCATTTGATTTGTATACTTATAGATTTAATGCTATGCTGACGATGTAGCGGTGTGGAAACAAGACGCTCTTCAGCAGCTGCGCCCCAGGAGGGAGTGGATAGATGATATTTCATTTACCGTTCTTCTCCAGGAGGTAGTCTAGAAGAAAGCACGCTAAGGTATCTTCAACACATACCAGCGATCCTCAATCTACTTCAATGTCAGCCAACCCAGACCGAGTGCGTCTTATCAAGACCCCCATGGACTCGTCAAACAGGTCCATGTTCGTCGGGCTACTGTGCCAAGACAACCACTAGATTCGCTTTGTCGGTTATCACAAAAGCTGGTATTTTGCTAACTAAAGTTACAGTTACGTTTCATGCTGTGGGGCTCTTCTGTTTACATAGAGGTAAATAATATCCGTATAGCCAATAGATCTCGGTTATTCAAGGGCCAAGAGTCACCTACCGTATCCACTCGTAAGATTGAGAAAACGCTAATCGGTAAGTGGTCTGTCTGACAGCCGCTGAGAAGGGCTTAGTGTGCTGGCAGAAACAGGGCTAGTAAGTTGGTTGATAGGTTGGGGAAGTGAGCTATGACAGAGTCTAGGCAGGCTGGTTGGCTGGCTGGCTGGTGATGGAGGGCGAGTAGGTTAACTACCTTCTCAAGAAGGCTCAGCGTAGAAAGACTGTGCTAACTACATATAGCTAGCTGATTACTTCTAACAGCTAGCTCGGCATTAGCGTTTTTCTAATCTCACGAGTGGATACGGTATAATGTAATACAGCCTTTAGTCCTCTAACTCTCCACAAGGTCGCCCTATGGTGTAGGAGACGTCAGTATTTAACACGACTAGATCAGACCACTTCCGTTTGCTACTTTTTGTTGTAATACTAGGTATTACCTAGGCGGATCTGACTTTAGTGGGTTTATAGTTTAAAATTTCGGCTTCAAAGTTCCAGCCGGCATAACCTTAGAACAGTATTATACATTGACATAACTAGACTACTTATATATAAGGAGTTAACACTGTAGGTAAAGACAATAGTATCCAGCCTTTACACCCCTTGTTAATATCTAAGACCCTACTATATCACTTAGACCACCCCTAAAGTTAGACCATGTGTTTATATTAATAAATTTACTACTTTTTTATATAACTAGTAATTAACTACTATTTTTTAACTAAAATATCTTAATAACTAAAAATTAAATTAATTCTTTAAAAATAGGAAATAATTTAAAATACTATTATATACCCTAATAATATTAAAAAAGATAATTAACAAAGTTCTTATTAGGAGTAGCTATTATAAAGTAGCTAGGCACTAAGGCATCCTATATATACTATTATACTATTACTTTTAAGGTACTACTTTAATCTAAGAGGCTGAAGTAGACTATCAATAACTTAGTTAACTTTAGAAAAAGCGCCTTATTAAATAGGCTTTAGCCTAATAAGCCCTTAGCTTTACTCCTAGTTATTTATAAGTTAAAAAGTATTATAGCTAGTTTCTAGATAGTAAGTGTTACGCTACGAATTACAGGGCCTAGAAGAGCCCACATGATCGCTGGCCCGCTTAAAAGCGCGCGCTAGCGGCCACGCGTGGCTCTACAGACCTTTCCTTTCTTTATTTTTCACATATTTAGACCCACAATATAAGAGCTTTTCAGCTAATTAAAGGTCTAGGAAGATCACTATTTTCCCCACCTTCCTTCTTTCCTAACGGATCGTAACAGTAAGGTTTCTACTAATAGTAAGTAAAGGTTAATACTTAGTTAATAATAAGGTTGTTCTTATAGTCTGTTAATTACCTAGTAATTAGTTATGCTATTAGGTTATTAAGGTAGCTTATATAGCTTATTATTAATTAAATTACTAAGGTTGGATACTAAAAGATATTTAGAGAATATATTATAAGTTAATAACTAAAGAGTTATAAAAGTCTGTCCTTAAGTGTATTTAAGTCTATCTTATATATAAGTCTTAGCTATTTCTTAAACTACTTATTTTACCTAATAGTTATAAGTAATTACTATTCTTATATAAGGTAAGAACTTAGTAAATACTAGTAAGCACTTACTTTTATAATTACTAGTAATTACCTTATTAGGTAATTACTTTTTGTCTTTATATAACTTATACTATAGTTTTTTTATTTTAAGAAGTTATTTATTTATTCTTTATTTTCTATTTATATAAATACTACTACTACTTATTATATACTTAGTAAGTAAGGTAATATAGCTTATAACTTATTAGGTTATAATATTAGGTCTCCCCTCTAAAGGTCTTACTATTATAATATTAACTATTACCTAGATATTAGGAGTATAAATTAACACTAATAACAGCTAGAATAACTATAGCTAATCTACTATAAAGTCTTCTAGGGATTTTATAGTAATTTCTTTATAAATCTACTAGATCTATAGGTATATTATATAGTAAATTTACTATGTAATCTTATAATAGTTTTCCTCTTTATATATAATTTAGAAACTAGTATTTACCTTTATTCTTTATTACTTACTTATTAATATATATAGTTAACTATATTACTACCCTAGTAAAACTAATACTAATTAGTAGTTAACTTTATAGTAACTATTACTATAAAATACTATAGATTAGTAAGGTAATATAAAAAGAAGTAATGTTTTATTATTAATTATCTATAGAAGGCTAAAGTAGGCTTTTACTAAAAAGTCTTTATATAAATACCCTTATAACAAGGTTATACTATACGCCCTTCTAGGTTAATTACTAAGATAATAATACCTAACCTCTTGTAGTTAGTAAAGGCCTAGTAATTTATGTCTATATATATAAGCCTTATTACTTTATAAAAGGTAATTTTTAAATATAAAAATCACCTTACTTTATATACTAATTTACTATTAATTAGTAACTATTTACCTTTTATATTCCTTTTGTTATAAGCCTAAAAGCTTACTAACTTTCTTTTTTTTTATCTTTCTTTTAAGTTATTTTATATTACTAATATAATAGTCTTTATTACTTATAAGCTTACTATAAGCCTTCTTTTTTAAGTTTTTATTTAGTAATAAGTCTTTATGTTTACTTATACTACTAGTAGTAAGTCTCTTAATAAATATATATACCTTTTAGTAATAGCTAAAAGAAATACCTATAACTAAGAGGTAGTTAAGCTAATAGAAGGTAATTATAAGTAAGTAATTAAGATAAGTAACTATAATAAGCTAGTAAGTAGTCCTTATAGTATAGCTAAAGCCTAAGGAGTAAGGAAAGATTACCTTAAATATATACTACTACTTAATACTACTAGGTAAGTAAAGGTAATCTAAAGTATTTATAAAGTACCTAAAAGGCTTAAGGATTATATTCTTACTACCTAATAGTAAAAGAACTATATTATAAAGTTATTATAAGACCTTATAGCTACTAAGTAAAGAAATATATTTACTACTATTACTATAGCTAATATTATATAATATAAGTACTATAATAATATATATAAAACTCTTTATAAAAAGGTATAAAATAACTTTAAAGATTATTTAATTAATAATTTTAAGCTACTACCTTATAAAGTTATTATAAAGTTATATAACTACCTTACTAGCTATAAGGGTTAAGTTAATTAGTTAAAAGATTTTATAGTTATATTATATATTTATAAGGCTATAATAAATAAGTAACCTACTATATAAGATAAAAGAATAATTATAATTACTAAATATAAAGTTAAAGAATTTAAGAAGTAGGTAATAAAATATAATTTCTATAAGATTATCACTAGTATAGTAGTATCACTTATTACTACTAATACTATAGTATAAAAAGCTAAATAAGTAATTACTTATAAATTACTAGTAATAACCTAAGTAATATACCTATATAGTAAGTAAATAATTATAATAAGTAGACTACTTCTTCTTACTTTTCTACTTTTTTTATAAGTTAATTAAACTATAATATATATAAAATTAATTAAAACTACTTATTACTATCTTCTTTATTACTATCTTAAACTACCTTATATATTTATATATTATCCTTAGTCTTTTTATAATTACTATATTATTATATATATAGCTTACTACCTTTTATATAACCTTTCTTTTATAATATTACTTTACTTTTAACTTTAATAATTTCTTTATTTTCTTATAATATTTTTAGTTTAGCTATATAAAGTAACTCTTTAAGATATAGTTAGGTCTTTTTAGCTCTTTAGTACTTACTTAGTATTTTATTTTTATATAAAGTCTAAGGTTTTTAGCCTTAATAACAGTAAGCT